GGGCACCGGGCTGGCTGCGTTGCTTCCACGCTGCCAGGGCAGCCCCCCTGTCCCCCCGCAGAGCTCGATGCTGCTCCGCTCTGCCCACCCTGCAAGGCCAGCCTGAACTTGGGAGAGCTGCAGCCCCAGGAAGCGCCAGGTCCCGCCTGAGCGGCCCGGGGTGAAACTCTGCCCGTTCCCCGTTCCCCATGCGCTGCGGTTAAACTATGAGCTCAGCCTTCCTTCTGCCAGCCGGGCTTTGCCAGCAGCCTGTCCGCAGCCTCCCGGGCCGGCCGGGGCGCGGGAACCCTGCTGTGTCACCATCAGGGTGCCTGCTCAGGAAGCGCCCCAAGGTAGGGAGGGAGCCAAGCGCAGGGCAGGGGTGCAGAGCCGCCCGCAGCACCCTTGGGCGAGCTCCTGGCCCCCAGCACCCCACTGGCACCCCGGAGGCCCACGTGCTCCCTGCCCTGCTGTCACAGCCAGGGAATGTGGCACCATCTGCCGGGTACAGAGAGAATCCCATCCCGGGCCATGGCACAGGAGCTCCGTCCTCTGCTCTGCTCTGCCAGGCACACATCCTGCCCGGCACAGAGACCTCGCCTCCCTCTGTGAAGGAGCGTGAGAGCTCCGGAGACAGCCGAGACCACAGTGGCACGAAACCGAGGAAACATGCAGCCAGATCTCTGTGCCCTGTCCATCTGCACGAGACAGAGCCGAGACCAAGGGAGCACAGGGAACTGGTAAATGTTTGCTTCCCCGGTGCCTTCAGATCCAGCTGCGGCGCTGCATCAGAGCGACAGTGCCTCCAGATCCAGCTGCGGCGCTGCATCGGAGCGGGCACGTTGCCACACGTTTGCCGGGCTCAGGCTGCGCCGTACGGATTTGCATCTGCCGAAAGCTCTGCGGTTGGGCAGGCGGCGCGCTGGGAGTGCTCTGGAAAAGCTGCCCCAGCACACACCTATCCTGCTCTGCCAGGAACTGGCTCCTCTGGAGAGGAGCTGGGGCAGACACCGGTTCCTCCCTCCGACAGCCCGACCAGCCCGAGCAAGGCACCGGCTGACTCAGAGGGGCCTCCGCGCAACG